CAGTTACATATGAAATTTAAAAAAATATATTTATTACTTTCTTATACCTGCCATCCAATCATACAATTTAAAATATATATATTTTCTAAACTAAGCTTTCAACTAATGCATTCATTTGTTTAATAAAAGTTGAAATTATATGTTCATAAAAAACTGGAGGAAAACATTAAGATGTATTATATAAATATCTCTCTCTCTCTCTCTCTCTGTCTCTCTCTCTCTCTCTCTCTATATATATATATACACACACACACATAATAATTGCTTCAGATTCATTTGATTGTTTTAGCTACAGTAAAACTGAACCAAGACTATGTCATTTCATTTCTTTCTTCTTTTAGAATTTCTTCTAAAATTTAAGAAGCATATGTAATTGTGGTGTATATGTGTTTGTATATAAGACATTTATCTATTATAAATCAGCCCTAGATTATACAAGTATATCAGTTAACATTCCTTAATGATATTAGCACTTTTAAGTATATACTTACATATTATCACTTAATCTTTCTGTATGTCATTTTCACAAGCCCTTCTACAATGTGTTTATAAATCTTATAAGATAAGACTAAATATATCAGCAGACTTTGTCTTGATTCTTCTTTTTAAAGGCTTTGGAGCGGGTTGCAGTTGGCCAAGGGGTAAGTAAGAGTGTTTACTATAATCCAACTGATGTACTGAATAGTTTTTATCTTAAGCCTCTTTCATTCTTGACCGGCTGATGAACTTAAAACCTGATGGATTTCAATAAATATCACCTCTTCTTGTCACCTCTGCATATTTAAACCTACACATTTTCTATGTTTACTTTAAAAGAGAAGTGAACTTTCAGAAAAAGTAAATTGAACTTCTAGTAAAGTTTCCACATTATACTCTTGAACTAACCTCATTTCTTCGTATTATACTAAAAAGTTCATCTGTAAATATTTCTAAAGAATGCTGCTGCTGAATACAGGCTCTTAAGAGTTTAGTTCAAGCAAAGATAAACACACTATACCATTCAGTTAATTATTTAACTACAGTCCAAAACGCACATTTATTTTGGTGATTTGATGACTTTTCTTTATTAACTTAATTAGTCATTAATTGTAACAACCAAATGGGTTTGCATACATAAACAGAAGTAAACTATGTCCCAAAAATATCCACGTGATTGCCTTATCCTCTACCTTATGATTCATAAAATACATTAAGATATTTTTTTAGTTTTTTTTTTTTTTTTTAAGTTTCATCAGATTTTTCTTATTGCACTTAAATTTTATAAATCTCTCATTTGCTTCTTTTCAGGGAACATTAACAGGTATATGAAATTTTTAAATGATAATAGAAATAACAAGTAACATTTACTCTGGGCTAGGTACCATGCCAAACACTTTACATATTTTTTTTTAATGCATTCAATATGTCTTTCTAAAACTTGATTTTAAAACAAGAAAACAAATTCTTTTGAAGGCACTAGGGCGTATTGTTTAAGTGTGTGTTCTTTACTCTCCAGCTTCTAGTTTGCACCTTGTCTCTACCACTTACTGGTTAAGTGATCTTAAGCATGTGTCATAATTTCACTGTAGCTTAATAGTTTTTAAGCTGTAAAATAGAAATCAAAACCAAACTAATCCCACTGCCATCAGGTCGATTCCGACCATTGGGTTTCCAAGGTGGTAAATCTTTATGGAAGCAGATTATCCCATCTTCCTTTTGCAGAGCAGCTGGTGAGTTAGAACCACCAGTCTTCTTGTTAAATGTCAAATGCCTTAGGCACTGTGCCACCAGAACTCCTTAAAATACGAAGAGTAACAGTAATAATAGGAGTTGTAATAGTACTTCTGTATAGGGTTGTTGTTAGGAGTGAATGAATGCATATAAGATGCCTAAAGCAATGTCTACCACATAGTAAATGTTCAATAAATGTCAACTGTTGTTGCTGTTATAATTAATAATTTTGATAATGAAAATAATAGCTAAAACTAGCACAGAGCTTATTATGTGCCAAGTACTATGCAAAGTTCTCATCCATTAAAACTACATAATACTATCATGTAGGTACTGTTATTGTCTCATCATATACATCATGAAACTATACAATGCTGCGATTTGAATATACATCTGACTCTATAGCCCAGGTTCTTAACTACTATCAACTTAGTGCTTCCCTAGGAGACTGGAAGGAATCCTGGTGGTGCAGTGGTTAAAAAACTCGGGTGCTAGCCAAAAGGTCAGCAGTTAGAACTCACCAGCCACCCCATTGGAGAAAGACGTGGCAATCAGCTTCCATAAGGATCACAGCCTTGGAAACCCTGTGTGGCAGTTCTACTCTGTCCTGTTGGGTCACTGTGAGTAAGAATCACCTCAACAGAAGTGAGTTTGGTTTAATTTAGGGAACTGGAATAAGAACGAACCTTTATCATAATTCCCTATTGCATTTGTGTGGTATTTCTCAATATCCCAAATGCTTGGTCATGTTTACAGTCAATCTTGAGTTAGGTATTATCCCAAACCTATAGAGGAACAGGATACACAGCAGAAGTATAATGTATGTTCTACCTCCCTTAATAAATTGCAGAACCTTGACTTCCAACTTAGTGCTTTTTCCACTAGACCAGTAAAATGCATGTCTAATATGTATGCTTTAAAAGTGTGTAAACACTTTCTTCTTGGTCCCCTTTTTAAAACACATTTAAGTGTTAAGTTGATTAATTACTTGTGAAGTGAAAAAAGTAAATTCTGAGCCACATCCAGTTTATTCCTGGAATAGAGAGACACAAACTGTTCGGGAGATGCTCACTCCCTCCCTTCCCACTTACTCCATCTGTATTTAGCAGGATGGATAGTCCCAGTTATTCCAGGAATGTGTAATCGAAGGCACTTCATAACTGTCTTCCCTTTCTCTTAGGAAACAGCTGTAAAGCTCTTATTTACTTAGAGTAACTTGGGAACAATGATTTATTCTATCCTGTTTGTGTTTCTCTGTGCATTCCATTTCTCTTCCTTATTGCTTAAAATGCATTTCTTGGATTGTTTGTGTGTGTGTGTGTGTGTGTGTGGTCTTTCTATAATAATTTTTAAAATGTAAATGTACGTTTATTTCTAAATTATTTTGAAGCCATTTTATATCATTTTTCTCAAAAGCTTGAGGAAGAAGGGTTTTAACTATTTTTAGAAAGCAACTTTAATATAATATTAACATTTCCATCTGTTACAGCTAATCAAACAAAGTGTCATGAGTCATTTATAGTCCTAGTATGAATATTTCCTTTCACTTCAGATACAGATTTGCCAAATACTTTGAATTTCAGTGGCACACTACAAAAGTAGATGTTAATATATAAAAGGATTTCAGCATTCTTGTGAGACAAGTGAAGGGATTTTTAGGAAGTAAGGGACAGTTGATAAAGCAGAGATTTTAGTAATTTAGAACAAAGTTAACTCTAAGATGAGAAAATGTCAAATGGAAACTATATCCAGGGGTGAGGATTGCACATGAAATGTTTTAGAGCAGAATTTGAGAAAGGAAAATTTAAAAATCAGAGGATTTTGTCTCTAGAGAAGAAGTATCTGGAAAAGATTTTATATAAGAATTATGCCTTTTGAAGGTTACACATTTTAGTATGGTCATTCAACTATGGGTGTGTCTGATTTCAGTGAGGTATTTTAGAAGTTGAATTGGAGACTGTGCTATTCCTAACACCTTTACCACTGGAATTACCATTTTGTCCCTGCTTTAGAGAGGGGATATGACTTGTGTTCTTTCAAGGTGCTCTGTCAAGATGGCACGAGCCTGACAATCTCCAGTGACTTAGAGGGTAATGTCATCAGATAAAGACCCAATAAATGATGGTCCAGCCTCAACCCCTGTCTCAGTACTTGGAGGCCACAGTGTGAGAACTTGGGGTTGAAATGGGGGGAGGACAATGAAGTAGCTTTTTCTGCTGAGCACTCTCCTGCTAGGCAGGGCCATCCCTGAAAGGTGTTAAACCCGAGGCACATTTTATTTTGTGCTGAACTTCATCTGAGCCCAAAATATTCTTCTAATTGAAAACAACAGTCTCAGGCTCTGAAAGAGAATAGCGTAGTGCCTAAGGCACTTGACTGCTAACCAGAAGGCTGGTGGTTCACACCCACCAGCCACTCCTCGGAAGGAAGATGGGGCAATCTGCTTCCGTAGTGATACTGCCTCGGAAACCCAAGGAGGGGTCACTATGAGTTGGGGCTGACTCCACGGCACATAACAACAACAACAAAGGATAACTCAGTGGGTATACACATTCCAATGAACTTTATCTTAAAAACATTACCAGTCACTGGATAGTTTTTAGTTTTAACCTTATATGACATCTCAAAAGCATTTAGTTTTCTTGGCTCCCTCATTCTTCATGTCCATTTATTCTCCTTATCCCCCTTCATCTGTGGCTATTTCTTCTCACTCTTAGTTCTTTTACCTCTTCTTCACCTCTTAAATGTTTAATTTCCCATTTCCCATGATTCCAAATTTGGCTATTTTATCTTCTTATCATATATGAATTCCCTGAATAATTTCATTCTCATTGTGGCTGCATTTACCACCATTTCCAGTCACCACTAACTATATATTCTGATTAGACTTGATTCTGGAACACCAGGCCCATATTTCCAAATACCTTCCATTTCACTGACCCCAGTGTCTCAAACTCGACATTTTCAAAACCAGTTTCGACCTCAGATATGCTTCTCTGCCTGTCATAAACCGTACATGTTCATAAACAATATTGTACCTCATATATGTTCCCTGCATATATTTTTTATTTTAGTAAATGCCACCACCATTCACCCACTTTCCTAAATCAAAAAATTTGAATCATTCTATTTTCCTCCTATACCAATACCCAATTAGTCATCATCTCTAAAATTCTATTCCCTAAACTTCTCTTAATCTATTCTTTTTCCTTTGTCTTTACTACCCTACTTCAGGAATTTATCTTCTCCCTTGAATTATTGCTACAGCCTCTGTGGTCATCTCCTCCTACTAATATCACTTATTCAGTAATGTATTGTGTTCTGCTTATCCTTCTAGAGTGATGGGAACCTGCACTGCTTAGCTGTTGCCGCAAAAATGCTGTATAATAAATCACTACAGATACCAGTGGCTAAAATAACAATCATTTACTCTTAAGAATATGTATCTCTAGATGGGTTTGGGCATCTTTGCTTCAGGCTGCAATGGCTGAGGATCATATAATCTACACTGGGCTCAACTGAGTATCTCTGCTTCAAGCTGCCAGTTTCTGGGTCAGCAGGGAGACAGTTCCATCCATTCACTTCTTCCTTAGGCTACGGAGCTGACCAGTCATGTTGTTCATATGGCGATGACAGAAATGCTAGGAGACCAGAAGAAATGCACAAGGCTCTTGAAGGCCTAAGCTTAGAACTGACAGACTGGCGCTTTTGTTTTCAAACCATTAGGCACAGCAAGTAACATAACAACAACAACAGTAACATGGTCAACCTCAAAGAAAAGAGGTGGAAAAATACATTCACCTATGGTAAGGCTATGGCCAGTGTGTGGATGCAGAAAAGTGTGAATAATTGGAGCCAGTCCTTCAAACTTTCAAAGCCCACCCTCTGGGAGAAAATTATGTATGTTCCTCACAAGTATAAAATCCATTCACCCTTACCTCAAGTCTTACCCACTCTCGGCATTAGGCTTAAAGTCCAAGATCTCCTGTTCTATATCAGACATGCTTGGGGTTCTTCTTGATGTGGAGACCTAAGAACCACAAGATAAGTTATCTGCAGCACAACAGCTAATATACAGTGGTAGATCCAATACAGGATGTCTTCCATCAAAACTTACATTCAAAAAAGAATGAGAGGCACATTTGCAATCTTGCCAGTAGCAGTTCTGAAATCCCACTGGGAAATGTGGCTTGATTCTCCCATCCTGGATTACTCCTTGATTAGGGCCTGAGATTCTTCTACCTGAGACTGGATTCCAAGTCAACTTCTCCTATAAATTATGCAACAAAAATGATCATCTCTCTCAACTGCCACTCTTGCTGTCTCTCATATGCACACTTTTATTCATTTATATATAT